TCTTGCTCCTAGTAGCATGGCCAGGAGCCCCTAGTAGCGTCCTTGTTCCTAGCTATTTGCCGGATCCGGACCGGAGACGGCCAGGCCGACAGCGTCCTGGCGGAGACTGACACCGAGGCGCTCGCTGAGCAGCTGGTGAGAGAGGCGGAGGCGACCGACCTGGTCCGAGAGGGGGATCTGTGGGGCTGAAGTGGGGGGACTTGATAATTAGCGTTCTTGCTCCTAGTAGCAATGCCCTTTGCTCCGTTCGTAGCGTTCTTGCTCCTAGTAGTATGGCCAGGAGCTACAAATAGCTTCTTGCTCCTAGTAGCGATGCCCTTGTGGATTTGAGTTTGAACGGTGCTTTTGGGGGGAGTCCTGGTGATATAGCATCAGGAATCAGAAGATTTCTGGCAACAGACCTTGACTATATACATGGACCCACCAGAGTCACTGATGAATGTGCGTTTATTGAGTTGCTTTTCGATCAAGCAGGGTTACCATTGACCATCATGGACCTGGCCTGTCGTATGAATGTGGACAAAAGAGAGATAGAGAGTCAGATCTTGGGAAATGCAACGAATTGACTCTTACAATCAAAACGGGAATGACATTCCTCAAGACCCAAAGTGTGTTTCTTTGTTTTCTTTCTAAATCGTTATACGGTTGTATCATGGACGGGCCTTATTGCAAGGGTCCTCATTTGAACTTGGACAAATTATTCATGTGCTTTGCCAGGCTACACAAGAGACGGCCCAGGCCATGGCGGTGTAATTGTTTGTGAACATGTCTTGTGTTTGCTTGTTCCTTCTCTCTAAATATATAGTTCGATGCTTGATTAAGTATATGTTTGATTGATGAGCGATTTTCAAATAATGCACCACCAAAACACCGTTTTTGCTTGAAGGTCCGAGTACTGAAAGCAGTGTTTGAAAGCAGTGTTAGAGTTCAAGAGTTGTTTGAGCTTTTGTGTCTACTGCCAGGAAGAAGCTTGGGACAAGCTTCAAACGGTTGGTAGGATTGGCGGTGATTGCCGGTGAACCTATATTTCTTCCAGCTAGGCCTTCCAGATGAATTGTGAAAGAAGACGCCGGTGGGCTTCCATGAGTTCCCCAACTTCCACAGCCCATGAAAACGTTGCATTGGTTTTCTCCCAGTTGGGGAAGCATTGGCAGATGAATAGATCTGCACACGCCGCAGGAACCCCCTGCCGCCAGTCCAGCAGCTGCGCCCGCCGCGGCTCCCGCGCTGGCACCGGCGCCGGCGCCAACCACCACTACTTTGACCACCACTTCTGTGGTCACCACAACACCTGCACCAGCGCCCCCTCTTGTGACCCCTGCACCCGCACCCGCCACCGCCGTGGTGACACCCGCACCCGCGCCGGCACCACCAACCACACCGGCACCAGCGCCCGCCCCGGTGGTTGCTAGCAACACCTCAGTGTCCTCTGAAAGTGATGCACAAAGCGAGGAGGGGATGAGGGCGGGTGGTGCTTTTGGCGGGTTTGGTCAGACGTGTTGTTGAGATCGGGAAGAGGTGCAGGGCTGGTGCAGGGTGCGCAATTGAAGAAGAAAGGTAGGAGTTTGCCAGGCAGTCCTTCAAGTGTTGAGCCAGACAGCGCAAATAAATTCAGCAGGGTCAATTGGCCAAATCCAGCACCAAGGTTCCAGATGACGCGGCAGATACTCAATCCCATCAAGAAAGGGTGTGTGTCATGATTGTCTCGCGAACAGGTAAATTCCTCAGCTCCCTCAACATCCCAAACCAACGGGTTTTACCATGTTGCATCCCCACATGACACAGCGGTCTCGCCGAAGCCCTCGTCGGGCGTCGTTCGACCTCGAGATCGATCATCCAGGACGATGAGGCAGAGGAGGAGGTCGGGATGTGTGAGGTTTCCACCGCCCGACGACCGACGACCATTCCTTTTTTCCGATCAGATCAGCAAATCCTTCGATCCGCGCGATATAGCGGGTGACGGCATGCATCGAAAGGTTCCCACGTACATGGGCATCCATCAGTTCCATGGACTCCAAAAAGAACTGAACTCAGTTCTCCGAGTCTCCAAGCAATCTCTCCTCCTCTTCTTCAATCTCCATCAGTTCCATTTCTTTTTGGAATCGGCACCCAAACAGAGGAGAGATTGAAGAAGTTGTGCATCTCGGGGCCTGGTCCCAACTGTTGACTCCAACAGACCAAGCGTTGCTACAGGGAAGGAGAAAAGGGGACATGCAAGTGCCACAACTGAAGCCCTACCCACAAACCCGCATCAAATTCATTGCTTCATGCAATCTGCTGGGAGAGTCGAACACCATCTACACCAATCAAATTGATTCAAAGTCTTCTCTTACCAGGTCCTGATGTCAGCTAATATGCACCCCAACCGCCTGGCCAGCTGCAGACCAGGTCCCGGACCTCGAGGACAACGCGACAGCCCCGGTGGCTCCGACGGCCCCGACGGGCCCGTCCCCGGCGGCTGCGCCGGCGGCGGCGCCGGTTCTGCCGAAGATTGGGACGGGGAAAGCCGCGAGACATGCATCCTGGTGGTGCAGAATCTTCGGGTGCTGAGCGAGAGTAGAAGGAAGTAGCTGAAGATGAGAAGTTGAAAAAAAGTGGACAAGACCCGATATGTTGTCATGGTTTTCTCTCTTCCATGTATGAATGAGAACTGGAAGATTTGTCTGTTCAAGTATTTTCTTATATCAATGTCGACTGATGGCATGATACGCAGTGGATGGGGAGGTGATGGGAGAGATGGTGCCAAAAGCTCAAGAACTTGCAGGGGCTTTTCTTTATTTGGTGCAGGAAGGGAGTTTGTGGGCGGGTGTAAGCGGGGTTGCTGTAGAGCTGCCACAATGAGGCACCATGAGGTTGAAAGAGGGCAAGCCATGTTGAAACGGAATGGGAGGGACATGGAGGGACTATTTATAATTAGTATAGGAATAAATCAGACGAACACCAGATTTGCCGGTTTGCTGAGGAATCGCTCCATCTAACACCTCATCAGAGTCTGAACCTTCTGCTTGGAGCTACGAGCTTCATGTCATGCATGGCAAAGCTGGCAAGAGCATAACAAGGAACGACGTAACCAACTTCGCAGATCGGACGAACAAAGACTCAGCCGCAGACGCAGCAGACGATGCAAAGACCGTGAGCAGCAGAAAGAGCCGCTTTCGCTTTGGAGTGAGCAGCATTTCCCGCACTCATGGCGCGTCTTCGAAGAGCAATTGTCCTCCATGCTGCTTGTCGATGTTGGAGATCAGTTGGGTGCTTTGCGGGGGCTCCAATGATGAAAGGGTCACATGTTTCGCATCAGCGACATGTGCAAGGCAATCAGCGAGACATGTCCGACGATCAAGGTCACAAGAAAGTTCTGCACAAGTTCACCAGTCACACTTTGTTTGCCACGAACTGTCCTGCTTTTTTGATTGAACATGCTGCTGAGCCATATGGATTAAGCTGTTGATACATGACATATCGTTATGACCTGTTTGTTCACATTGGTTGGGGGGGAAACACCACAAACTGTGCAACGCGGAGACTTTTAAGATCCATTATAAGATTTTACACGTGATTCCCATCAGCCACAACTCTGGGCTATGTTCAAACCCATCAAACAAGTCCAGCGACCCACCACCAGCTGCAGGCCTGCGTCCTGTTGGCCCTTCTCGCGCGCACCTATGTCCCCGCGCCAGACGCCACGGTGGCGTCGAGGCGCGGGGCGCTGCCGATCGCAGGGGCCGCGCTGCTGGGCCAGGCTGCGCACGCAGGTGGGGATGGTCGAGACTCGAGACATGGCAGATGTTGGTAAGCAGGTTTCATGGTGAAACCTCCTCACCCGGATTGATAGAGCTCTTGATTCCTTGAACCAGCCAGCCACCAACACAACAATAGCTAAACGAATTACGGCAAGTAACCGAGCAACCTGCCAAGCAGCCAAACGAAAAAATACGAATACATCCTCCGACCCAATCGTTTGAACTCTGAAGAAAACGCCGGTGGCTTTCTCGGCCTCTCCGAGCGTTCGCGCCAGACGACGCGGGTCTCTCGAAGCGCCGGAACCTGCCGGCCGCGGCCATGGCGGACATCGTGCGGCGCGACCTGGTGGAGCGGCAGTTCCTGGCGACGGCGGACTTCACGCCGGAGCGGAATGGGGCGACGGGCTGGGTGGAGACCGGGCGACGAGGGGGAGACCAGGAGAGGGTGGAATTCAGAGGGGGGAACTGCGTCTGGAAGAAGAGGGTGGATTTGGAGCCGAAAAGTTGGGTGGCGGTGGTGGTGGTCGATATTGGTAGAGAATTAGACGGGTTGGGGAAATAAGGAGGGAGGGCTTGGATGATACATGATGATAGATGGGATGCTTTGGGGGTACTTTGAAGAAGATGAGTTTCGAAATGTCAGGACATCTACGATGAAAGCTGCACTTTCACCGATGAGATCGACACCTACCAAAAGGACAAGTTCATCAAAGGGACAAAGGCATCGGGGAAGCCATCGTCTTTGGGTTCCTGTCAGATGGACCCTGAGTACTCGATGAGTAGTTCGATGAGGAACTGAGGAGTTCGTCATGATCAATCCCTGAAGGAGTTCGTCATGTGCAATCCTTCACGGAGTCAGTATGGTGTCAGTGCATCTTGGGGGGCCCTGGCCCGTATCCTGGACCTTTTTGGCCTGTGAGGCTCTCTTTGTGGGGTCGGAATCGCAAGTGGAGTTGGTGGGTGACGTGGAAGTCCTGGAGGAGGGGAAGAAGCTTCAATTTCGATTTCAGGAGACCCTGGCGTTCCGAAGCTCAGTGGGCGGATGGGCTTGCGTGAAGGAAGGGATTTGGTGTTTCTTCCTTTTGCAAATGGGATGGGTTGGAGTCAGAGCTAAAATAACTCAAGCAGCACTGCTTTTGGCTTTCCAGTCATTCATGGTCCACAATGCCCACCATGAGTTGCATGTGCTCATATTTACTCCAAGGTTCAATTTTCCGCTGGTCCATCCGAAGGCGTGGAGAGTGTTCATGAAATCCAGCCTCTTCCTTGTTTCAGACCAAGAAAAGGAGTTCAATTAAGGGTTTTGCAACAGATTTCAACACACCGAGAAGCACAGCCTTGACGCTTTTCGCCGCTTCCTTCACCTCGCTTCCCACGCCGGAAGGTGACCTTGTCGGGCACCTGTACTCTCACCCGTGGGGACGATGGTTTGATCGCCCCTTTGGACCAACCGAGTGGGGGGAAGCGGGGGAAGGGGAAGCCGCTCAGGCGAACGGCAGGGCGCGGCTTCCGCGGGGCGATGTCAGTGGAGATCCTTCGATTTGAGGGTCGTAAAACCAACAAAAATATACAATATAAACACAATCTTCAAATAGCAAGGGCCTCCAACCGAAGAGCAATGACCTTCAACCGAAGAGCAATGGCCTCCAACCGAAGAGCAATGGCCTCCAACCGAAGAGCAATGGCCTTCAACCGAAGAGCAATGAGCTCTTGAAATGCTCATGGGAAGTGGAGTGAACACCACCTGTTTGCTATTCGCATGTCGCCGGCCCACGATGATTTCAGGGAGTGATTTCCACTCCTGGTTGAGGTCCCCGCCGTCCCCCCGTGAAACAATCACCCACGAATGATGGGCAAACCTTTCCCAACGGCAATAGCGTTGGGTCCGCTCTAGCCCTGACAAATCTCAAGTATAGTTTGCAGCAGGTTGCGAAAGAGCGTCAGAAGGTGTCCATCAAGGCAGAGGGCTTGTTTGGGGATCCTTATGATGTGCTCCAACTTAATGCCACGGCAAATTCGTGAATCTCAGAGGTTCTCGGCAAGAATGCACACTTTGGTACCAGTGTTGAGCACACAGGCTGCACACAGAGAACACCTCAGAACAGTTTGCCCTTTCAGATTTGCTTGGGATTAGAAGAAATATATTGCTCTAATCTTCCAAATAAATTTAATGAGCGCTTCTGGTGCTTAGGATTGCGGATAATCTTGCGGCATATTATGTTTCAAGCTGCAATGAAAAAATTATGTCTAAGAATTTTGGATTCAATAGGCCCAGGGGCCACACTCAAGATCAAGCATCGACATGAACCGAGAAAGCAACCTTGAAACTGGACACCAAACATTTTCCAACATCCTGAAGAGTTTGAAAATACTTGAGGCTTGTGTGGCTTGTAGTGCGAAATAGCTGGATGGTGGGAATGGTGGGGGACCAATTTAGTTTTCCGCCTTTCTGAGGTGGCCTACCGCGAGAAATGGGTTCGGAACCTAGAGCACGATTTTCAACTATACAGATTCTGAAAGCGGTATGGAATAAGGATCAATCGATGCCAGAGGTCTTGGCAACCACAAAATTATAATATCCATCGAATTACAATAAAATTATGTATATAGATATTTATATCGAATAAATATATTTATAGAATATTATATTGATTATTAATTTTGATATATTATAAATATTATTCGTAAATTAATAAAATAGATTAAACAATATATAATATAGAAATTATTTATATTGCATTTTCGGAATTTATATTTAATATTTTCTATATTTTAGATTTATATAATGATTGATTTATTTAATATATATTATATATTATTTACTTATCGGATGATTTGGTGCGCGTCGATGGTATATGGGATATTTTGATTCCAATATGCGTATATGATTCTAATGCATTGATCGGGCAAAGAAACATATTATATCACAAAAGGAACCCGCCACGACTTAATGGTGCGGCTAGGGCTAGAAGACAGGGTTTAAGCGAGATCGTGCAAAATACGAGCCTCAAGAAAGGGCACGACGTCTAAAATAGCGCTTTGCGGCAGGACGTGTCCATAGCTTTTTACATATGTAGCCGAAAAAGTGCTAGGACATGGCTGTGTTATAGAATCTTTCAAAAGGTATTGAACACTAAGCCGGATTCGGCAACAACTTCATGAATTGTTATGTAATTGTCTTTATTCTGAAATCGAAAACCTTGGGAGTGAAAAGCGATAGCAAATTCGCAAAAGGCAATAGTTGAACCTTGATTGTTGCACCAACGTAGCTGCCCCAAAAAATCCCATATAATATTCCAATCCGCTGAACCGTATTTCCACTGCTTGGGAGGGTCAGGATCTTCGGCTTCCAGTTATAAAGGGAACGACAGGCTTGCCATGGTCACTGCGGGTATAAAATCTGGTCTGCTCAAGTGAGATGGTGTCTTTCGTCGTGGGCTTTGCACATGTATATCTTGGTCTGACACATGGCAATGTAATTTGACAAATCATTCTTGGTGGAGCCCAGAAGCAACCTTCATAACTGGGATGATCTCGGGATAGATGGGGCAAATAGACTTAGCAACTTTCTTGGCAGCAAGATCAGCGTCCCGATTCCGGAGAACATGCTGTATTGTTGTTCCAATTGCATGCAATACCTGGGGGTCCAGAAGGTGCGTAGGAACATTCTCGCACACGTGTGGATCCATTTAACGACGAGAGGCTATATATATATATATATAGAATTTATATTTATAAATAATGGATATTTAGGAATATATATAATAAATATATTTATATTTAAGAATTTATTTTATGGATTTTAGTAAGATTTATTAGTAGGTATGGGAATGATTTGATAAAATTATTCTTTTAATTTTACAATTTTTGATTTTTAATGATTTGAATATATATTTTTTAATCTAAATCTATTTATATATTTAAATCTTTTTTATTAAAAAAATATTTTCTAGGATTTATTGGAATATATTTTTTAATATCGTATGACCGTGGATTAATATTATATTATGTGTTTTAATTTTTCATGTTTAAAAGAAAAGATATTTTCATAATGAGATAAAATAATAATTAGAAAGTAATTTTCCCATACGTATTCCAAATTAATATATATTAGGTGATGACGGATCTTTCGCACACTCATGAAGATAAATTTGTGGACCGGATGGAGACTTATGCGGAATTGATTGTAGATGGTGGCTCTGAGGCCATGAATTGAATAATTATATAATCATTATATAGTGTAGCACGTCTGATATATATATATAT